ACCTTCCTGTAAGCATCAAGGACTGTAACTTTTCATATGAAGAAACTTGTTCTTGTTTTAAGTCTATGCCAGGTTCATTCCCCTATAGCCCACAGTTTTCAAAAGCAGAAGAAAAAGTAATCCAGAATTAAAAAAAATAAAAAACCCTCTGTTTCCAGAATGAAGTTACCCTGTCAGCTTGCCTTGGGCCTTAGGTGGAGAAGTGGAGATTAAAGAGTCAGTATTCCTTTTCATGTTTCGTCTGCCGGTTTTGTGAATGTAGAAAGAGTACTTGTGGCTGCGGCTAAGTATCTGACTATGGTATTAAGTATGGCATTTTCATCCTCATGCAGTAAATTAAAAATATTCTTATAAGTTTATCACAAGGGGGATTCAGTATCAATACCATCCAGTCATTGATAAAGGTATTTCAAGGAGAAGGGTGAATAGCACAGCAGATGTAACCTCAATATTTTCACCAATTATAAAGAGCCTCTTTGTGAAGCTGTGTGAATATGTAAGATGATCTCATCATTTCCTATTTACTCAATACTTACCTGAATACGCAATATAGTGTAGCTTTTAAATGCATATGCACATGAATAAAATGTCCTTTTGTAAGAGACTTTGCTAAAAGACTGCTTTTGATACACAATTTCTTCATCTCCTCTTCAAACTGCATTAAGCTACTTCCTTCTTTTAAAACACAACTCACTATTTAGAAGCTTTGGCTTTGATTTCTCAGAACAGCCTTACAGGAAGAAACTATGTTCTTTTTCTTTTTGTAACCATATTTCTGAAGACAAACTTGTACTGATTTATTTTGATTTTCTAACAGAAATAGGTTCCTGCAAAGAACACTGACTGTTTCTTCTTCTCCCCCCTCCTTCACTCCACTGCTACAAGAATATTGCTGTGCGCAAAGCTACCAAGGAAAACTGAAATCCCTCTGTTGGGAACTGTGTACATAGCAATATACTCATACTTTGAGAAATAAGTGAGATTTTTTTTTTTTTTTTTTAAGTTCTTAGCATGACATACTGTGCATTTCTTGCATGCTAACCACTGAATTCAAATTGAGCAACTAGGTAACATTTCAGCAAATTTTAGTCAAGTTTAGCATCCACCATTTTAGGAATATATCTGTGCAGCTAACATAAAGGTCACCAGTTTTAAAACATTAACTCTCAGTTATTCCCTTTGATTAAAGGGTTTATATGTATGTATGTATATATATATTTGTCATCCTATTCCTAGCATTTTTGTTTCATTCTTCTGTTCAGTTATACTTATTGTAAAGATTGTTCCTGAATGATATTAACCTGAGATCCAGTATTAGAAAGATTTCTCTGTATTTCCACACAATATGGCTTAGTAACAAGGCCTTTTTTTCCTCTTTCTTTTAAACATGAAACTCCCATTAACAGTTTGGAGACTTAGGCATTGGTTAGCAGAAGAAACTAAGCCTGTAAGAGAAGTCACCTCCCCTGCTATTCTTACAAATGGACCAATACACCCAGTCCTGCACAGTCCCATGTACCTTCAGTCACAGGAGCCATCCCACCGATGTGGTCACAGGTCTCACCTTCCCCCGTACTGTGTTGTCTGCCAGACTGGGTAATCCATCTACAATAGAAATAGAAATTTAAAACCCTCTGCATTTCTCAATGGACAAAAATACAGAGCTGAACCCCGATTCTGAGTAAGGGATTTGCCTTAAGTACAGTCTGAGTAAGTTCAGGATGTGGTGCACATGGTATTACTTTTTCAGAAGTTTATGCTAAGCTGAAATGTGTGGTCAGTTGCTAGTAACAAGTCATAACAACACAAGCAGAGCTTAGGGTGGACTAGTTCTTTAATTTCATTTCTTCTCAAAATCACTAACTTTATTAATGGACTCCCTGTACCTGCAAACTGAAGATCCTCAAAATTAAACTGGGCTTTACCCAGTAACACTAGGTTATCAATAAACCAGATAGACTTCTCCTCCTGATACATCCTTCTAGTTGCTTGTTTTCTCAAAATTCTCATCTGATTTCTAAGTTTCAGCTTGTCAATGCCAACAGTTAAAAAATACCATAAATTAGGAAACATTTCAAATTTTTTTTTGTTCTTTCTCTTTCATCGCATTGAGAAATTTCTTCTCAATCTATAGTATGAGCTTTCAGAACTGGCTTGGGGTGCCTAGTTCACTCTCAGAGGATGTAAGAACCAGATTTAGCAGCACGGCACAGCTGGTCTGCTGGAGAATCTCTTTACAGAAAGAATTTTTATATTGAATTGTGGGACTTCCTTCAGAGTGTGGTCCACAAATCTCTCATATGAAACGTGCTTTAGACAGATGCAGGAAGGAAAATCCTGTGTATGTGGTAATATATCTGAGCTGGCCAAATAGAGAGTGGGAATTTGCAGGTAGATGAGCTTCATGGAAAGCTCATTTTCAAGACAGTATTTCAAATATTCTTTGGATGTATAGTACTTTGGGAGCCTGAACTCTGACAGGAGGTGGTTTGTTATGCAACTCTTATGCACTGAATTCTCTTGCTTGAAAAAGCCAGCACCTTTTTCCTTCAGAAGTAACTGAAAAGGTTTTAATTTCTGCCTTTTTTCCATTCATTCTGAAATGAATGCTCTGTTCAGCTCATGACATAGAGTTTTCCAGTGGTGCAACAACCAATATAAAAGATACTGAAGGAGGAAGGGCTTGTCTAGGATGAAATGGGCTGAAGGAGCTGCAGGGTCTGGGTCCTCATAGCTATCACTACGCAGAATTGCAGTGTCCTTTTCAGTCACGGGCTGTGCATGTGGGCAGTTGTGAGGATTCGTCCTTTGGTATTTGCATAGCATGGTAAGCTCCTCAGATAAGAACTGTTACAAAGAAGAGGACAGTATAATTACTAGATACAAGTGCAGATAGATTTTACTAATTTCTGCACGAACCTGTGGGTGTTCAGGTTTCCAGAAAGGAGCCAATATCACTCCAGACTTACAGGCATATCAGTTTTACTGTCAGCCGTAAGCAGAGTATTTTGAATGTCCTGTTTTACTGAAATGGAAAAGTCTGCCGTAATCAAAACTTGCAGCAGTACTTTTCTTCCCTTATTCTTCCTAACTGATAAAGTTGAGCTAATTTATGTGCGATTGTTTTCTAAAGTGGCATACAGCATTGCTTTGACAGAAATGCTGGATAGTCAGTTGCTCATATTTTATCTTTATTCTGCTGTATAATGAGGTTTTGAAACCAATGAATTATCATAGCAGAATATTTAAAGCTTGGAATACAAAAGTAAAAATTTAGGGAAACTTATGGATCTCTGCTAGAAACAAACCTAGTTAGCTAGAGGTTGCTGAAAAACAACAGGACCAAGATCACAAATATTTGTTCATATTACAGCTGAACCCAACTTGCACTTTACATTCACTTCACATTGCACTTTTTTACGTGCATTTTTTTATTCGGTAGTTGAAAAATTGGAGTGGGGATTGGGGGATCCCTCCAAGGTAAGAAAGCATCTGTGTTTGTATGGCTGCCTTTGTAAATATCTTTTTTCTGTAGATATCTGTTGTACACGCATTTAGATATAGTTACATTCATATCTATTAGAGGTATAGACATTTGGTTAACTTGAAAGCTCCAAAGTGTCGTTTGTCACATTTATGGTAGGAACTTTAACTGCGTTAAATACTTATTCTTTTCCAAAGTGACTTTTTTCTTTTCCTTCTACAAAAAAAAAAAATCAAAATGTACTTCATGAAACTATTGTATATGAAGCACTTATTAGCCGTAATTAAATGGACAATATGAATTTACTACGTCTTTAGGACTCTGGCTTGTTCTGGTTTAGAGCAAGATGATTAATGCAAATACATATTACTTGAGATAACCATTTAGCAGCTAATTTAGCCAAATTTATTACAGCAGTTAGAGGTTTTTCATTTTAGCAGACGGAGACAAGGACATGACAAAAGCAGAAGGTGTATATGAATGCACACTGCCCTCTAGTGCACAAAATCCCAGAAAGGATTAGTGAGAAATGCAGAGGAGAGTTAAGTGCTCTGGTAACAACAGTACCCAGATTTTGCATAGTTTAGGTTTGCTTTACAACCATGCTGCTCCCTTCCACAGCAAGATTTGCATTCCATCCCCTTCTTCTGACACTGAAGCGTCAGATACAAACCAAATCCGTTTCAACTTGGCAGTATTTTGGCTGAAGTATTACTTTAAACATCTGTATTTTTAAACCTTCTTGCTGTGAGCGTTTAATAACACTGTGTCACATTACTGATTGCTTTTACTTGTTTCTCTGTTTCCTAGCATATTTCAAACGTCTGAGAGAGCTGTCGCTCTTTGGCTCAAACCAAGCCATTCTGTGCCTCCCCTAGGCCTCTTTCTCAGTCTGTTGGTGGATTTACTTTGCTCTGGTAGAAAGTGAATTCTCCCAAGACTTTCCCCCCACTGACCAGTGGAGATTTCGTTCATCTGAGAACTGTAAATTCTGTTTGACAAGATCAAAGAAACAGATGTATAAGTTCAGTGGTTGATATCGGCTGCAATAAGGAGAAATGATCAAAGCAGCAGGGGTACAGTATCTTCCCAAACCTTTCAAATATCCAGAATCTCAAAGAGGTATACCAAGGAGCTATGAATAAATCACATATAAATTTGCCTCTTTTTTTTTCCTTTTCTTTTTTTACAGTTTGACATTGAGTGCATTGAAAATGTCCACACAGCAATAAGTGTTCTGTGAACCAAAGAGATTTGTAGTTCTTTTTATTTTTCTTCTTGCACTAGAGTTTCCAAAAACAGATTAAAATTATACTTTAAAAACTTGTAAAACATACAGCTAGTAATACTGAACTTCAGATCCTGTTTGTCATCTCACTGGCATGCTGCATTAAACCTAAAGGAAGCCAAGCATCTTCTGCTCACACTTGCAGCATGCTGTGCAACAAAGATCATTTTACCACAGTTCTAACATGCACCCTATCTTGTTTCTGTTTTGTTTGTATTTTTCTGCCAGTGCTGAATAAGGGTCAATGTGTAACAAAGTATTACCGCTGGATGCAGAAGAACGGAGGTTATATCTGGATACAGTCTAGTGCAACCATAGCTGTCAATGCCAAGAACGCAAGTGAAAAGAATATCATCTGGGTCAATTACCTTCTTAGGTAGGTCTTCCAATCGCTTCTCTCACTTGAACTGCTGTGTCTGTTGCTTATCTCTGTTGATGAGTGTTTTAGGGAAAAAACAATTGCCTACTGGAGAAGGTTAAGCAGAAGAACTTTTCATATGGTCCACCTCAAAACCAGTGCCATTTGGTTATATTTATTGAGACATCTGTTATGACTCAGTACACTGGAATATTCTTGAATTATTATGCTGCCTTAGTCTTCAAATAAACCTTCAACCGTTTTATTGCATGCCTCCACTGCCCTGGAATCTACTCAGCCTGAGCTCAAAGATAAAAATGAACCACAGCAACTTTCAGTAGTTGTGTTACAAAATCTGGTGTGAAGTGTTGGGCAGTGGTTTATTTGGTTATTGAAAATGCATGGAAGCAAATTTCTGGAATGCTACAAAAAGGTCTCTCTTAAGGTGTTTGCCAGTTCACTCTAGAGAGAGGGTTTTGCTAAGGAGAAAAGCCTTGAACAAATATGTTCCTCCTGTAACCATCAGACAGTAGTCACACTGAGAAATGAAAAATAGGATTTAAAAATAAAAGTAGCTATTAAAACTATTTTAAACTATTAGAACTATTTTAAACAGAAATGGCAGTAATATCCTGAATTAAAGGCTCTTCCCTGAGAAATTATGTTTTACCAAAGCCCAAGTATTTTTAAAGGACTGGTTTCTGAGCTCAGGGGAAGACCAACAGTCACTGAGAGACAGTGAATTATAAACCTGACCTTTCTCATCTGCAAATACCTTTCAACGCATTCTGTTTTGTTAAAATGTTCAATAAGATTGGGGGATTTTCTGTTTCATTCCAGAGCAGAACAAACAAACAAATAAAATTTGAAACCTTGAGATTGTCATGAAATGCAATTGTCATTTTCTGGCCTGTTCTCCTTTTAAGTTGCTTGTCATGGTTTGTTACATTCCCTTTGATGCCATGAGAGTTCAAAGTGATGTCTAGGGGTTAGATTGTGACTTATTATGCCAAGTCCAGCAAGCCCTGAAGAGACTGTCCCTGCCTAAACTTGCATGTTGAAGTACTTTTTATTCCCCTTTTGGGGAAGACAAGGAAGCACCCCTGGCAGGAGAGCATTGAGGGATACTGTGGGAAACCTTCCACAGCAGTGGAGTGTTCATTGGGGTTCGCATGTTTCCATCCCACTATGATTGAGTGCAGGCATTTCTGAATATATCCTTATCCTGCTAATTTTTTGTCTCTTTTTGCAAGAGTGAGGCAGAATGCAGCATTTCAAGAGGTCAGCATAAGCCTTCCTGAACTGGAAGCACAGCTTCACTGCCTCAGTCCTAACAGGGCTTCACAATGCCCAGAAATGTGCTGGAAAAGTGGTCCATAAGAATTATGAACAGTTGCCTCTGTCCCTTTTGCTGCTTTCCAGACAATAGGTGAACCTAGTCCACAAACATCCCACAAAATTATTTTCTCCACCAACAGAATATACCTAATAAAAAAAGAAAAGCACTGTGATCTTCCCCAAGTCTCCTCCCAGAACTTGATTTTTCTTTTGCATTCCCTTCACTGGTCTGTTAGAGAAAGATTAACTTCTACGCTGAATTTGTATTTTTAATTTAGGTTTCTCCTAGTACTGGAATCCACAAAAGATCCAAATGTCCAAATAATATTTTAATGACAGATCAAGGCATAATTAGGTCTACTGTTAGCAGGAGTACTGGTCTGTATACATTTCCATGCATTAGAAAGTATGATTCAGCTGTCTGTAAAAGGATACACTAATTATAGTGACAGGGAGGATTAATGCTGTTCTTGTTCTAGCGACTTGTTATTCACAGTGTGAAAGCCCTCAAACATCTTTTGCTTGGAGGGGGCAAATTTGGGGACTGCCCTGGGATGCAACAGAATAAAGTCACTTTGTCAGGACAAAACCATAAAGATGATAATCGGAAGAATGGCATTTCAATGTGAACTGTGTGAACTCTGAATTTTCACAGTGCACTGTAATAGGCTGAATATGGGCACACTGTCATTGTGCTAGTGTGTCAGTCACCCCCAGTGCTGCCTCATATTGTTCTACCCAGGACTGCAGATTTTCTGCTCTATCACCAGGCTGGAATTTGAACTGCATAGAAATGCTCACCTACTCAAAAATTGTTAAAGACTTTGTTTATTTTCAACATTCCTATGCCACTTATGTCTAGCTGTGTCTGTTCCCCTGCCTTTGCACAGATTTGGGAAAGGAATACATTTTAAAAGGTAGAAACCAAGAAAAATCATAGGTTGGTTTTTTTCAGTTTCTCCGGTAGTGTAGCTTTTTTACATTGCAGTCATGTTCATTGCTAACAAGTCACAGGTGAGCACCACATGAGCAGATGAAGATATGATTATAATGGGTGTGTTGACAGTTCTTTATCCCTAACATATGCATCTTAACATGCACATGTGCATCTGTCATATAGCTAGAGTGGTTGCTTTTGGTTTCTTGGTGATGTGAATGCCATGTGTGCAGTATTTAAAAAATATATTACCTTTTTTATCCATTTTTTGGCCAAATCCTTTTGAGCAGTGGTCATTTTCTCTATCCCTAACTAAGCACCTTCTTACTAACTTTATGTATGGTCTGCTTGATTAAAGTGTGGAAAACAGGAACGTTGAGAAAAACAGGTATTGAAAGGGCTCTGGCAAGGTTGATAGAGAACATTGTTACAGAGATAACTCTAATAGACATTGCCGGTGGGAGAGAAACAGATTGGAAAAGTTAAAACACCCTCCCTGTCCTTCCAAGCACAGTAATGGGATCGAAATCGAGATATTTTGTTGTTGGATGATTACACAGCGTAGCTTTACTGTTAGATATCACACAAGCCATGGTGTCCCACTTCAGTAAGAACGCTTTGATAGCTCTAAAACTTCACTAGAATCAAACGAGTTTTAGTACCTGGTCAATATAAGTATTTGACAACAGTATTAAAATAAACCTTCATAAAATCCCTGCTGTGAAGCTCTGAGGAGATGAAAATGTATGTTTCTGTGTTTGCTCTGCTATTCTTCTTATTTATGTTCTTTGTTCCTGAACTTTGATATGAAAAGAGGGAAAAAACATGAAACTGCAAATCGTCCAATTGTGTTTGTTTGCTGTCTCCTCTTCAGTAACCCAGAGTACAAGGACACTCCAATGGATATTGCACAACTCCCTCATCTGCCAGAGAAAACCTCAGAATCCTCGGAGACCTCTGACTCTGAATCAGACTCAAAGGACAACTCAGGTAACACACATGGTGTGCCTTTACACCCACAAAAAGTTCATATCATAAGAGCCATGTGGCTGGCTTTCCAGTTGCTTTTATTTCTCAAGGATTGTTCTGTTATAACAACAATAAAAAAAAAATCTTGTAAAATTGAATTGAAAACCACTAACAAAATCTTTTAATGACCTCGGCATTGCCACACTATCGCCAGTTCCTCGGTATTTCTCTTCCCTCTGTGCATGCATCTTTGCCTACGTTGCACTGAACTAAATATCTGATTTCCCAGCTAAGCTTCATGAACAGGTATTGTGCCTTGCATAGAAGACCTGGAGTTGTAACTGTTGAATATAATTCTAGTTCTTATCTATCCACAGTAGGCATACGTTCTGAAGATAAGTCTCTACTGTCAATCTTTCTTTATGACCCTTTTTCCTGTATAAATACATTTTTGAAGAGTCTCGCTAGGGGGCAGTGAAGATTGCAAAATTTGAGTGTTTTCTTGGGTTAAAAGCATTATTTTTTATTAGAAGGTATGGGTCCAAGCACTTGTTTCTAAGCTCTTTAAGTCTGGGAGTTCAGCTGTTTTTTAAAAGCTAAATGTACTTGTCAAACTCAATGTGTAAATTAGTCCTACAGATGGTCCACTGCCCAGATGGTTCACACATTCCCCATTATTTTTAAAAGTGGCTACCTAGGCACAGGTACAGATCATCTGGCTTTGAAAGGAGCATGGTTTCCTATGGCCCAAGAACTAAGGATGTTACTCTGCTGTAGTATGCAATATATATATATGATTTTTCTCTCGTGCCTATGATAACAATCAAAAAAAATCTGGACAAAATGGATCACAGTGACATAAATCAAGCAAAAGCAGAAGAGGATCAGGCCTTAATGTCATATTCTATGATACGGCTGTTCTCTTTCATCTTTTGCCTTTATTTTTTCTCCTTTGACAGCTTGGTTTGGTGGTTTAAGTCAACATTAGGCACACATACAGGCTTGTTGCCCACCATCATTGGGAATCTCTCCACCCATTCCCAGTGTTTCCTTTATGCTGTCTTGTTCCTAAATAGCCAAATAACACACATGTGGAGAAGAGTTTGCATTTTCCATCTGTGCTGTAAGTTTCTCCAGGTGAGAAATGCATGTGCATTCATGACTCCTAAAGCTGATGCAGAGTAAGAGAGCATTCTTCAAAGGTGCACGGAGGTGTACATGTCAAAAGGAGGTATCTGGGATTCTTGGAAGACAGCGGAGGCAGGGGGTTGTTCCTTACAAAAGAATTAAATAGAAATGCCAAAGGACCTGAAATCAGAACAGCATCTTGAATGAAACCAACAAGCTCAGTTCAAGCTCTGATAAAATCCCAGGCAAATTTTGTGCAGCTTTAGACTCACCCTAAGCCCACTCTTGACCAGCTAAAAACCATGGCCATAAAAGAAAACCTCTTCAAAAAAAGAAAAAAAAAAGTAAGAGAAATTCAGCCCTAGGTGGAACAAAAACCTGGATGAAATTTAGGGGTTTGCAGCTGTTACTTTGCTTCTATGGGTTATATTTTTCAAAAGGGAGGCACTCTCTGCTGCTGGTGACTCAAGCGAAAGTTCCACTAAGTGACTTGTGAAGTGCATTGCCCTGAATCCTCAGGCAGCTTCCCTGTCAAGCCCACCTTCTCCAGCACTTCTGGGAAACTGTTTGGTATTGATGTGGCTCCAGGAGTAACCAATCTTTAGAGGAAAACTGGCCCTTCCCCTCTCCTCCTAAAACAAGTATATTGAAAAGGGTAGTACTTGGCTCTGACGAGTGAAAAAACATCTTTTATTTCCCAACAAAAGATTTCTGGCTGGTCTGTAAAAGACGGGGTCTCCTGAAGCCTTTCATGACCCTTTCAAACATAGTATGATAATGGAGAGTATTCATTCTCAAAGCTGCTTTGGCGGTCTGAGTCCAGTGGGCTAGAGTGTTTATCTCATCCGTATTAGAATTAGGTAAAAATCTAAAACACAACTAAATGAATCCAGGCAAGAAGAGTGACAGCTTCTCAGTGCTGTAGCTGGCCTGTTTTCAATGGCCCTCAGATGATTTGGATCAATCGAGAATTTAATTCACTGCCTGTATTTTTCAGTTTGTTTTTTTTATTATTTGTTGCCCTTCAGGGGAATACGACAAGACAGCCTAGCAATGTAACAAAATTGTTATAACTGGTTTATTCATTCAGATTTCTACATGTATGACCTGCTTCTCCTCTCACATTGGAGGAAATCAGCAGTTATTCTACTGAAGTCAGAGACACTATGTCACTTCGAAAGTGGCAACAGTGAGAGGAAAATGAGATGAGAGGACTAGAATCTTCATTAGTACATAGTGCTACACCTGGATGCCTGCCCACTGTAGGAGAACACGGATGTGAAATAACAATCAGCAGAACATAACCGTCATAATGGGATTGTTCACTGACTCCTCTTTGGATGGCACAGCTACAATGCCATTGTGCTCAACAGTTGTCAAAATTATTCCTGTCCAGCAAGCAGATGAAAAGGCCCCCCTCAATTAAGGTGCAGGCCATAGAGCATAGGCTTTTAGTGCATTAACAATCCTGAGTCAGAGAGATTCATGGTGACCAAAATTCTCCCAACATAACATTGCAAAAAAATTGTGGCTCCACAGAAGAGAACACCTTTTGCCAAAAATGTTTACAGCAATCAAATCTCATTGGTAGGTAGAAATCTGGACTTGGATTATAATATTATGTTCCTGTTGCTAATGGTTTGTTTCACTTTCCTTTTGCTCCAGAGGACAATGAGAACTCAAAGTCAGATGAGAAAGGAAACCAGTCAGAAAACAGTGAAGACCCTGAATCCGACAGGAAAAAGTCAGGAAATCAGTCAGATAATGAAATGAACTGTAATGATGATGGGAACAGCTCCAGCAACCAGGACAGCAGGGACAGTGATGACAGCTTTGAAAACTCTGACTTCGAGAATCAAAAGGCCCCTGAGGACAGTTTTGGCACTCTTGGCTCTATGCAGATCAAGGTGGAGCGTTATGTTGAGAGTGAGTCAGACTTGCGGTTGCAGAACTGTGAATCACTGACCTCGGACAGTGCCAAGGACTCAGACAGTGCAGGGGAAGTAAATGCCCAGTCTTCCAGCAAACATCAAAAGAGGAAGAAGAGGAGAAAAAAGCAAAAGGGAGGCAGCATGACCCGGAGAAGGCTGTCAAGCACCTCAAGTCCAAATGGACTTGACTCAGCTTTGGTGGACCAGCCCCAGCTGCTCTCGTCACCAAACAGTGCCTCAGTGCTCAAAATTAAAACAGAAATCTCAGAACCTATCAATTTTGATAATGATAGCAGTATTTGGAATTACCCACCCAACAGGGAAATCTCAAGGAATGAATCACCCTACAGTATGACCAAGCCCCCCAGCTCCGAGCACTTCCCTTCCCCCCAAGCCAGCAGTAGTTTACATGTCTCCATTCCAGACTCCGTTCTCACCCCGCCAGGGACTGAAAATACTGCCAGCCGTAAAACTCAGTTCAGCACCTCATCCAACTCGGCCTTGGCTCCTGTGTCCTCCGACCCTTTGTCACCCCCACTTTCAGCATCTCCACGGGACAAACATCCAGGAGGTCCCACAACTTCCAACTCTTTGTTGTACACTGGGGATCTGGAAGCCCTTCAGAGGTTGCAAGCAGGCAATGTGGTGCTTCCTTTGGTTCACAGGGTAACGGGAACCCTTGCTGCGACCAGCACTGCTGCTCAGAGGGTCTACACCACTGGCACTATTCGGTATGCTCCAGCTGAAGTTACTTTAGCCATGCAGGGCAACCTCCTCCCCAACACCCATGCTGTTAACTTTGTTGATGTTAACAGCCCCAGCTTTGGGCTGGATCCTAAAACACCGATGGAAATGCTCTACCACCATGTTCACCGACTGAATATGTCGGGACCGTTTGGAAGTGCTGTGAGCGGGGCCAGTCTGACCCAAATGCCTGCAGGGAATGTGTTCACGACTGCCGAAGGACTTTTCTCCACTCTTCCATTTCCTGTGTACAGCAATGGCATTCACACTACACAGACTCTGGAACGGAAAGAGGATTGAAATATGACCACATACTGTGTTCAGTGTTATACTCTGAGGCATAGACTATGTTTTAATTTAGACCTTTAATTCTAGCACTTTGAATTTGAGCAGGTCAGCTTATTCTCTCAATATGATGGTCCCCATTTCATTCCCTTCCTCTTTAACTTGACTTATTCTTTAATGTAAAGATATTTTTTTATTTTTGCCTTCAGAGAGTCGAAGTACCAGTTGCCTGCCATTTTGTCTTCTTCTAAGATGTGTGTTTTTTCCTTTGCATCTTTATTAAGATGCCTTTAATATGTGTATGCCTCTGCCATAGAATACTCAGTGTTGTGGTAAAGAGATTTTAAAGTGACAACCATTGGTTTTACTTCAAAATGATCTTGATATGATCAAGATTAAAAGAGACAAGCATAAACAATGTGCCCTGTTTGACTAAGTCAAATGAAAAGGGGTTTTTGTTCCTAATTCCTTTAAAAATAGGGGGATAGTATTTTAGAATTTTATGCAGAGTTTAATTCTCTTTTTATGGTTAAGATTTTCTTACTTGCACATAAAATAATTTGGGTTCTTAAAAAGTTAATTTCTGGCCTGTGACTAGAATGTTAAAAAGTTGGACTAAATGTTAATTACTGAAACTTTAACTTAATTTCTAAAACCATGGTGCTATCATTTATTAATCTGTAATGTCTTCATACAATATGCAGCTTGTGGGCTGGGTTTTTTGGAAAGAATGTGTTCCGTACTGGTTTATAGTCGGGTGCTGCAGTCTCCTTGGTTAGTTAAGACAAAAGCCCTCATTAACATTTGCTGCAGGACTTAAAATTTTTTACCTCCAAACTAACAAGCATAGCCTCACATCAAATTTAAATGGGTCAGGAAGCCTTTTTCAAAAAGCGCTTAAAAACAAAAAATTCAATTTAATTGACGCGAGGAGCAGTTTCTTAGGTGCATATTGTTTTGCTTTATTTTTTTCTCAGTGTAACTGAGGCTAATTTGCAACGTCAGATAACACTTCGGAGTAAAAGAAAAAACAGAAGAACTATTTAACATGTTTTGTTTTGGTTTTTTTCATTTAATATTATAGAGGGAAGGTTGTAAATTTCTTTCTGTTCTTTGATTTGGGTATTTTTTGTTGGTTTTTTCCTTATTTCTAGTGTTGAAACCAATATGTTTTAAAACTAAAGAATGGGTTAATAAGCTTGAAATAGATAACTACAACTGAAAACTGCACATTAAGTAAAAGAAAAGAAATCTCCTATTTTGTCTTTGTTGCCAGAAATCACAGTGTAGTGTCAAGCACTCCAAATGACTGTCAAATATAAATTCTTCTTCCACTCCATCTTTGGCAGCTGTTTGTTAAGGCATCTAATAACAGATGTGAGAACTGTAATGTGTACAATGTGTAAGTGTCCTTGGCTGTCAGTCCCATTGCAGTTTCAATGTGTGTTACTATATGCAGTATATACTAAGCTAATGTAGTTGTTTTGTCCTTTGTCTTCTCTGTGCTTTATCTCTAGTCCGGAGTGGTAAAGTCCCATTCCTGCAGTCCTAGTGAACCAGTGATTCTTGGGGGTTAGTGGTTTTTGTGTGGTGGCCTTCCTCTGTAATGTCACCTTATGCTGCTTCCACTGTCTGTATACCCTTTAATTTCTGCTGTTGCTTTGCTGTTGTGTATCCTCCGACCTCTCTCCCCCCCTTCCTCTCTCCCCTCCTCTCCACGCCTCTCCCCTCTCTCTTTCTCTCGCTCTCTCGTTCTCTCTTCTTCACTCTCAGAGATAAAAGACTCTTAACTAGCTCAAGGTTAATGGAGCCATTTTTCCCACAGAGGAATTCTGGGTATGACTTACTCTTCCAGTGTACCCCACAATGCACTTCAGAGTAATGCTCAGATATATTAAGCAAATTGACGCCATATAGCCTCAGTTGTTAACATTCCCAGAGTCCCTTGTGCTCGAACTGTAAGCAGAGGGTGCATTTCTTTGGTTTTCTCCCAGGTAGGCTGGCGGAGTAATACGTAGAGCAATTACCAGTGAGATAGGAAATGCTTTCAAAGGTCAACCAGCATTGTGTATAAAAGGAAACTGAGCTTAGAATTGTCATATATATTTGCTTATGTGTGCAATGCTAATGTATTAACTCAGCTGTCCTTTGAATTTTTGATCGCTCACTGCGTCGAGTCAATTCCTGCGGTAGCTTTGCATTTGAGAAGCCGGTCCAAGCCACAGCGGAGTAATAGCGAAAAAGCGGAATTGGGCTCCACAAATTTCGTTAATGAGCTTTTAAAGGTTCCATTGGAAGGATTTAAGTAGGTCTAAAAAAGGCGAGAAAGCTGATTGGGAAATTCAAAGTTTAATTTTGGAAGCTCTACTCTAGCTATGGAACAATCAAAGGAGTGCACCTCTCAGCTACAAAGACAGCTAGACAGCTGTTGTTGTTTTGTTTTTTTTTTTATAAATGTTTCTGTGTTGTGTCAAAATGATTTCTGGTGATTTAAACTAACAGATAATCACAGCTGCTGTCTAAATCCATAGTGTTTAAAATTACAAAATGAAAAAAAAACTTCATTACCTGTGAAGACTGTGTCTGTGTTTTTAACTATTTCTTGTACAAATATATGAAATCTTTTATGAGGAGACTGGTGCCAAGTAGCTGAATAATGGGGAAAGGGATTCTGTTCGTATAAATCTTAGCAGTGTTACCAACTCTACAATATAAAAAAAAAAATTAAAATGTTAAAAAGTGACAGCTATGGTACATTTATTTTGTGTTAAGCTAACCGAATCTAACTTCTTGAGTGCCTGGCTTATTTGAAACATTTTTTTCATTGATCATTGATAATGCTGCAAATCAGAAATGTACATACTTCATTTACAACAGGGTTCTTTTTATACTTTTGTAGATTCTCATACATGTCATACATGGTTGTCTTTATGTAACTTAATTTTTTTTCATCCCGCAGGTGCCATTTTCATAATAAACTTCTCTTGGATTTGTTACTATCTGGCATCATTTCTTTTACATATAACCATCCTGACTAATGAATGCTGGTAGTATTTGTTTGAGCAGGTATTTTTTAATTGTTTCATTTAAAAAAAAAAAAACAAAAAAAAAAAAACCAAAAAATAACCAAAAATCAAAGAGGATAAAGCTAGATTTTATTAATGCTTGTGAAATGAAGAAAAGAAGCTGTCAAGATGTAGGTTAAGAATGCTAATCCAAATACTACAACAAACTTGCCACCATCCTAAATTCTCAGCTACCCCAACTCATTGTCATATTGAGCATTTTTATGCACATTATCAAAGCTGAATAATGGACCTGCAACATTAACCACTATAGAAAGTGTGCATTTTTTCTTGATTAATGCACACAGGAAGAGGTCGGCTTTTGTACATTAATCATTTAAAATGCACTTTATATTTTCATTTTTGTACTCTACAATGTTACAGTGAAACTCTTCAGTCACATTATATCCTACCTAGGCTGCTGATTCTTTTAAACGTGTACTTTCTTTCCCCAGACTGGCAACACGTAAGTTGTTGGTGTCGTGTGGCTAGACTTTCTGCCTTACAAACTGAGGACAGAAACATTTTCCAGCGTAGAAAAGACAAGGCAAAAAGCCTCGACCTCACAACTGAAGGGAAAAAAAAAAAAAAACAAACTCAAATGCAGTTTTGATTACGCAGACATCCACACGCAGTGGTTGACCCTAAAAAGGGAACAGCCATCGGCGATTACGCCTGCGTAAGTTCTGACAAAAGGCCCAAGAGCAAGTGTGTTTGGTCTCTGCTGCGGAAAAGCAGGGAGAAGCTGTGCTACAGAAGCGGCCGCCCCAGGTACCCATCGCCGTGTGCTGACTCTGGTGGTGGCTGCTGCATGCGCGAGGAGAGGCTGGGTCGCGGCAGGGCTGGGGAACGGAGCCTTCTCACCCACCGCTCACGCCGCCTCTGCACTTCTCCCTCCGGCATTGTCTTCCCTCATGGTGCCTCCCCCACCCGTGTCAAAGATTTCCAGATTCCGTATTTGATTTTGTGGTTGCTGAACATGCGATCTCTAAGAACACAAATTTTGGGCATGTAAAATCAAGACAGTGCTGCCCATAGCCAAAACCTGTAAGCAACTTTGCCCAAATCTCTTCTCCTCTGTATGTCCGCTTAGAAATTACAAATATTTGGGCTAGTCATTCTGGATTAGATTTTGGTTGCCTTATTAATGCTGAGTAAAGCTGTCTAATCAGTTGCACCGTTTTCAGCACATCTTTTTAAAGCAAAAGACACACTCAGCTAAAGTAAGAGCATGTGAATCTGGCTTGCTGGGGTGATACAACAACAATAAAAAAAAGAACCACAAGATATGTATGCACAGTTATAGCTCGGTGAGCCAGCCCAATGGCTTAAGAGCCTGAGGCCTGGCTCTTCGAGTTTCTGAGCAGTTCAGGATTCCCACTTCCCAGGCTCCAAGCGCTGGGTTTGATATGTCTCCAACTTGTAGGGGGTGGAAAGGAGCAGAGGTTAGTGGTGCTGCTTTCAGCTCTGCCCCCATGTTCCAGTTGGCAATGCATCTTGTTTATGAGGTAGCTAAGGGTACGGATGCCAACCAAGAGGAAAACGGAATTTAAATGGAGGTCGGAAGAATGGCTGGAACAAAGCTTAATGGAAGAATAACATGCCTGTTCCAAACAAGTGTTAACCGGTATTAACTAAAGCCACTAATCCCAAGAAGGGGCTTGAGGGGGGCGTTTCCGAGCTCTGATAAAGGCTTTCTAAACCTCAACCATACTCCCTATATATTGGATCACAGCACAGAGGTGATGGTCAAAGTGAATAGACTGCTCTAAGACGTCCAGTTGAACAAGAAAGTTTGCGCAATGAAGAAAATGATGGAAAGGCTCTTTTGTGGGGTTTTTTTGGGAGTGATGCATCAATATAGCTCTGGGGAATGGATTTTGTAAATTATTATTTGTAGGAATTTTAAGAAACAAAACCAACTGCTTGAAAGAGTTGAATGCTTTGAAA